GTAGAGTGAGGTTGGAAACTTAGCAAAGCCTAGGAAGTGCTTCAAAGGGTTTACTTGAGTTTTTTAGAAAGCATTTAAAGTATCAGTTTAGAGGGTGACTTAGATCATTCAAGACGATTCTCTAGGAAAGTATAGATAGGTAAGGAAGGTAGCATTTGGCCCGTTCTACTGAAAGCACAAGATCCAAACTCGAATTGGGGAAAGTCTTGGAGAATCTTAGATGTCTGTGGGATGAGGATTTTTTGGATATGTTCTGATCATTTTCATGGTTGTTTTTTAGAATGGTGATGAGCACTCAGGAAGGAGGTTTGGGTTCATTTTCAGGCTCAAGTGCAGATAATGGGCCGATCAATGAGCGGGTGCAGGAGTTCATCCCGTCGGAGATTACTCGCGGTATTTTGTAGTGGACTCTTGTTATCTCTGGTATGGTCAAGGAGGGGATTTTGGAGCTCTTGGATAGTTGTGTTGGGGATTTTAGGAGGATTCTATTACTAGCTCTTGTCATATGGGATCGGAAGTGGGTTATGCATCATGTTTTCAAGGGGATCGATCCCATGATTGGACTGCCATAGAGGTTTCACGAGCTTTATGCGAGGAGTTACCCGACATCATTGGTCGTGTTACTGATAGATTGGTCTCCAAGTTCAAGGTTTGGACTTTGGTTGTTCACGCGGTTGATGGGATGGTCGAGGTAACCCAGGAGCAGGAGATTAGTTCTGATATGCGACTAGGGAAGAGGAAGTAGACTCATGGTCTGACTCGGTGATCTAAGTAGTTGGATGTTAACATGACTAGTGTTAGAGACAAGTCTAAGTGCGGTAGGTGCGGAAGGAAGGGTCACCTCCACCAAGAACACACCCTAGAGGTAGAATTATGTCATCATTATCATCAACCTGGTCATATTTGGGCGAATTGCCCACACTTAGTGGTTGGGGTAGCTCAAGTTCCATCACAGGTGCTTTTGCAGGAAAAGGAGGTCAGAATTTCATCAGATGCTATTGCGGGTATATTATCTTTTGCTTTCCTCTAGATAATTATTAGTATTTATATTTGTCTTGGGATCTTGTTTTGGTATGGCTAAGCATTATCTCCGGGTTAGTTCTCTTTATTGTCGGGGTTTTATCATCAAGAATTGTTTATGACATTTTTGCATGCTATGAATTATTAAAGGGTCGTATCTTGCGGAGTGGGATTCAATTGTTCGGTCGATTGTTCTGGTTCTTTTGATGGGATCAGTTCAGGTTTATTGATTAGAAGATCTATGGTTGAATTAGAAGGAATAGTTCATCAACAAACTTGGAGTTCAGACATGATGGAGTTTATTCAAGTATGATTGGTATTTGCCTAAGGTAGGACCTTTGGATTCAATCACTACCGTTGCTTGAGAAGGAACGGTAGCAAGAAGATGTGCATGGTAGTCACATGAGTTGTTGGTCATCGAAAGTGCCAGGTGAATTTTATAAGGGTTGAAGATGGTTAGAATTCAGGAATCCTTCTGAGAATGGGAAGTTGGAGTGAAGATTTGCCAGTTCAGGCCAAGGGTTATAGTCTTTGTCACCAGCATAAAAGAATTAAGGATTTGGTCCGGTAATGTGGGAAGTGATTGGGGTTATCTAATTGCTAAGATTCGGGGAGTATTCATCTAGATTTCCAAAGTTGGCAGATCTTCGAGGTTGGCTAGTAATGGAACTCTAGTATTAGTAAGCGTAGGTTGTCGACGATTCATATTTTATGAAGGTAAGATGGGTTGGGAATCCATCAAATTTTATGGGTTAGGAGAGCTTCGACGAATCTAAGTGGGGGAGAATCGTTTAGAATTCTGGGAGCTGGATCAGGTGTGAAACTAGGGTAAGTTTGACATCCCATTCGGGAGAGGAGACGACTCAAGTGGCCGTTTTTATTGAAGTGGCGTAAGTTGGGAGTTCAAGAAACCTCCATTAGCTGGTTGATGTCTTCTTTGTGATGTATAAAAGGCTTGTAGATTGATCCAGGTTGAGGGTTGTGTTAGAATCTCACTGCCTTTCCTTGTTTGATGAAGGCTTTGGGGTTCGAAGCATGACCCCCTTATTGGAATTCAGTTGGATGTGGGTTCGACTCAGGATGATTGGTGTTGAGATGGTATAGGCGTGGTAAGACCATGGGTAGTAACCATGGTGGGTTAGATGTGTCGTAATATTTGCAGATAGTATGAAAGTTTTGAAAGTCTAAGATGGGATCGTAACATTCACCAGTTTGAGGTAGACTATTGTTGAGGTGGTCATGAGTATAAAAGAGGATCCGTTCTTGCATTGAGCATGTCGGATAGGATTATCGGAGAGAATTTCTCCATTTAGGGGGATGACCATTGGGGTACGACGTGAGGTCGGGCTTGTATAAATCTAGTTGGGGTGGGACCCGTGGATGTGGCCTGTTCATTGGTATAGACCGAGTGGGACCCGTGGGCGAAGCCCCTGTGATTATCACAATGTAGGTGGGACCTGGTAGAGACCATTTGTATCGAGGTATTGAATCATGGTTTTAGTAGGGATGGTTATTTAGTCAATGAGTTGCAGAGTGATGCATAGGCTAGGGTAGCCTTGTTAGTTGGACTCTTAGGAACCTGGCGGTTGGACTAAGTCTAAGACTGAAAGTCGTAGTGGTAGTTAGGGATCTTTTTACCCAGGTTTAGTAAAGGGTTGCCATAAATCAGAAGATTTCTAATGAAATGGAAGTGTAAATCCTTGGAACTCCGATTATAAATTAGGTACCAAGTTGGCTTTTTATGGGAACTCGTGTTGGGAATCGTGAGTGTATATGGGCAAGGTCTTTAATTCAACGAGATATGAATTAAGGAATTTGTATGCCAAGGGCATCATGTAAATGCGTCAAGGTAAAAAAAGGATGTTTTCAATTCTGGTGGTAGAAAGACCCTTATGATTGTGCTTTGGAATGGTTCTACCTATGTGTAGGTTTGAAAAACTATGGGGATTTAGAATTATCGCAGAAGCATATCGATACAACAGTTAAGAAAGTGGTGACTTGTTCAACACTAGGAGGTTTAACTCCCAGATTTTCTCTTGTTGTTCATTATATGCGTGGATTCGTTAACATCAGGATGAGTCTTTTACTCAAAGGAATATCTAACACCTTTTGTTTAGTGAAATGTTTGCGGCAGCAACGATTGGTCTGCGATTCTGGTTTTCTATTAGGAACATCAGGTAATCAGAAGTTGGGTAGTCAGTTTGGAAGACAAGTGGAATTGAGTTAAAAGTGGTTCAGTATGGGTGGTCTGTCGGGGATTCAGACAAGTTCAAGATTTCAGAATTAGGGTAGAGTAGAGGTGGTTATTCTACAGGGGATTAATGTAAGTTAAGAAAGGATTTTTTTATTGTCGGGTTTTGGGAGCCATGTTAAGGCTGGGTTCAGTTGCAATGTTGGAAGGCTGTTGTATGCCCTAGGTTACTTTTTTTGTCCATATCGAAAAGTTATAATTATCAAATATAAAGTAAAGGATTTATATTGTGATAGTTATAGGAAATCACTAAGAAATAAAAGATAAAAGATAAAAATTACATCTATTTAATGTGTTAGTGAGCTATTATTATTTATCCTTAGCATGATGAAATTCGGCTACCCCAAACCCATAATCATTAACCTTGTGAGAGCTACAACGGTATGTATAGATCTATACGGGGATTGACACCCCACATGTGATTGCTAACTAGAATCTCGGCATGATCACTTTCTTCATTATTCAGCTATTATTCGACATCCAATGAAGCCTCGTTCGGGGAAAATTTTAGTCAAACAACATCGGTTATGGGGGCTCTTTGTAATGCATTACAACAACCTTGGAGATCTGACTACCTAGAGGGACATCTCTAAGTAGTAAATAAAATACGTTAGGATTAATAGAATATCCTAAAATTCAAAGATAGTAAAATAGGATTGATAAAATATCTGAAAATCTAATAAGATAGGATTTGTAAAGTATCCTATAGAAATCATAAGTTAAGATTAGTAGAATATCCTTAAAACATAATAAGATAAGAATGATAAAGTATCCCACAAGAATAATAAGATAGGATTATGTTACCAGATAAAAGGAATATTAAAAGAGATAATATAATAAAGCATAGGAAACAAGGATTAGAAGTAAATTAATCATAATCATTATAAAAATTCCTAAAATGTTTTCAAAGATTTTATTATATGTATATTTCAAAACATGTGGACTCACCAAGATCAAGTTGACATTTTCAAAACCGTATGTATTCCTATGATGGAGTAAGGATCAAGGAAAAGAAGGACACTCATCGTGAAGATAGATAGGTTTCGTTTAATTCCTTGTAATAGATTTCGTTTGCAAAAAAGATAGTTATTGTTTACGCTCTGTGATTTGGGTAATCTATGTAAATACCATCACCACTCGGCATTTCTGCCAATGACTGGGGAAGGTGTGATAGAATGGTACAAGAGCTACTTGCTATAGTGAATTAGTATTTCATTAGGAATGGCGACTATAGCTTAGGACATATACTCCGATTAGGTTTTCCCTCAAACCTATAAATGAAAGTATTACTATTAATTACCCAATTAATAGACTACTTGCGGGAGAGGTGACTAGTTTGACTTGTCGCATGTGTTGTTGGATTTTAGAACGGCTATATGCTAAAATGATCCTGACCTTCGACACTTCTCATCTAGCCAATCTATACTTTATAATCCAGAAGTATACAACAATAATAACCGCCTACCTTGAACAATAAAATATATGAATCCAAAACGCAAACTATGTAAGTCAGTTATCTAGGCCAATTTAGTGTGTAAAAGTTGAATCACAACTAAATATAGTCTGATCACCTATGTTTAGTCTTCACTGAATACATCAACTAAGTTTGGGCTCGGTAAATAATAAAATAGAAACCATATATTATATACATATACAATGCACATTTAAAAAAAGAGTATAAACATACATCAATAAGTGTATCAAAAATATCCCACAAAATAAATAAGTATCAAAATACAACCCAAACAACCAACTCGTTTCTATCATACTCACCCTCTTCATCCTCCGAGCTTTCCTCATGATCATCATCGGTATCCCCGGGATGTGTGCATGAGGTTCCAACACTATCATGACCAGTACCTCTCAGCTGAGTAGGTGGAATAACCGGACCCGCTTGAGGAATAGGTGGGTGGTCCAACCCAAGGTGTTGCCTCCACCCAAAAATCGAAGCCATGATCTAGCAATGTTCCTCCTATATATCATCCATACGATGCATAACATCTCGTAGAGTCGGCTCTAGTTGATCAAGATCGGCATGCCTAGGTCTCTGACACCTCTGAAAGGTAGTATTAAGGATGTGCTCTGACTCCACCTGTCGGATCAGCTCCACAATATCATCGTCCAGAATCCTCCACTAAACCTCACCTCCTCAAACCAATACCCACATCTTCCCTAGAGTGGTAGTACTCGTGTCTATGATAGGAAAAGGAACCATCCCACTAGTGTAAACCTCATAATGTAGGGCCAACCGAGTTACCCAATGACCTATGCAAATCCTGCTCGAAGGCATGGAACCTAGAGCCATGCCACGTAAATAAGGAGCAATAGTAAAAGGAATATTGAGGCAAACCTCAGAGCGAGGCACCATATATAGAAGAGGTCACCAAAAGGAACCTCGTCACGCTCCTCGTGGTGACAAATAGTAGAGGCGACCAATCAATGGATCAACCGAAAAATAGGAGATTTGGAGGCATTCCTTGGATGTCCTGGAAACATAAGTTCCCTTAGCGTGGCCCTATACCTGTAATTAGTGGTACTCCTATGGCGGATCAGTAACACAACTTTCAAAATAATCATATAAATGAGGACTTGTAGTTTCCTCTTTTTTATAAATCCCTAGACATCTCACCAGCTCGATCAGGCTACAGGAGCGGGATACGCGTCCCAGGCGGAAAGAAAAAACCAATCGATCAACCTACCTCGTCGACACCTTGTCGAAGCGAACCATCGAATAGAACTCCCAACATAGCTCCTTGTAAATCACCTCCCAAACCCCAATGACCCACTGCCATCCATGGCAGACAAAAAGCCAAGACTGCTATCATCCGACAAGACACGAGGGCTCCATACAAGCCGTCAAACCGGAATCATCCACAACTCTCTAGGAAAGAGCTTGGGGAACACTATCATCTTGGACAGAAGATTGACCAGTCAAGAGAAGAAGGAACTCAAATCAACAAGGTCGTCGGGGAATTATAGATATAAATGCAATGACCATGGGATGCTCGAATAAGCTTCTAGAGCACAAATAGGTAGTTCATTCCGCTAAAACATTGCAAATTTCCAGATTATCTAAAAATTTAGAAAAAAAATTCAAATTCTAAAAACACAAAATGAGGATTGATGGATGAAATAAACTCGAAATTGAGTATCAAGGAAATAAAATTAGTAGTATAGCTAGCTAAGTTACTCATCCATTTCACAAAATTTAACCAAAATCCATCAATTGATAAAAAAAAATAATTAAAAAAAAACTCCAGAAGGCATAAAACATGAAATCAAGCCTAAATAGAATATAGGATAAAGTAAGAAGGATACATTGAAGTAGAGGAGTCGAAAGAGATGCATAAACGGAAGCTCGAGAGCAGGCTCGCGATGCGTGCATTGTGCGGGTGGGACCCAATCAAGATAGAAGAAGGGGGAAAAGGAATGTTGGAAAAGTGAAAAATGAGGCGAAATATCGACTTTAATCCAGATCTACTGTAGGTGCGAGCGGCGCACATCGTGTTCCTCGCGCGCATGTTTAAAATTTTCAAAAGAGGACACTTTTTACCCAAATTTTTTTTGATATCCTAGATTATAAAAAGCTTTAAGGGATTAATCTATTTAAAAACCTAAAGGTAAAGAAGAGAGATTTCCTTTGAAAAATAAGAAAATCAGATAGAAGTCGGGGCTTGTTTCTAATTTTTGGAGGCGATTTTTTGATTTTGGTTCTTTGTTCAATTAAAACAACAAAATCGTGTGTTTGGGGGTGGGGGGGGGGGGGGGGAGGTTATTGTCATAGAATGCTTCTTTCAAATTGTATTATCATGGGATTATGTTATGAAAATAATGAAAATTTTAAAATCCCATGTACAAAAACATAGAGAAGAAACAGGTGCTGGTGCTGGTGCGACATGAAATTTTTACAGGTTAATTTAGCAACAGGAAGCATGTTTATGGTTTTTAGAAAATTTGATTTTGTTGTTATTCTTTCAATAACGATATGTGAACTTTTTTTTTTTTTAAAGAAATGTTATATTTTAGTAAGTTCTTCATTGTTTTGGTGTTATTCTTTGAAGAATGATGTTATTATTTTGAGAATGAAATGTAATCTTCTTTCAGAATGCTTACAAATTAGTAGATTCATCGTTTGCATGTAATTATTTCAAGAATATATACCAAGAATCATGTAATTCTTCCATGTTCCAATGCCATTTTTTTGATTCTTACAAGATTAAAACCTTATTCTTTTTAGAATAAAAAGGTTGCATTGCGACTAATCTGGTTACAAAAATTATCGTGAATATTTTATATCCAATACAAAAATTCTCATGAACCAAAACTTTACATTCTTTCAAGAATGAAACATATTATGTTAAGAATAGTTTTAGAGTTTAATAGATTTTTTTGGTAATTTTGAAATCAGTTAAAATTAATTATAAAAACCATATTATATTTGAAATTGATTCAAAAATGCTAAAAAAGCCATCCCATGTTTATAACATATTCTATAATTAAATTAACATGAAATATTCGTAATACTATGGGTGAGCAAAAACCTAACAAATAAGTGATTGCATACGCCTTGAGACATTTGAAGCCTCACAATGTTAACTATCTGACACATGATTTAGAGCTGGGAGCATGATTTAGATCTGGGAGCAATGGTCTTTGCTCTTAAGATTTGTAAACATTATTTGTATAGGATTAAGTGTACCATTTACACTGATTTTGAACATGAGACATTTGATATGGTTAGATGTGGTAACGGATTATCGTTGTGAGATACTTTACCACCTGAGTAAAGCTAATCGTGTGTTTGGGGGGGGGGGGGGGGGGAGGTTATTGTCATAGAATGCTTCTTTCAAATTGTATTATCATGGGATTATGTTATGAAAATAATGAAAATTTTAAAATCCCATGTACAAAAACATAGAGAAGAAACAGGTGCTGGTGCTGGTGCGACATGAAATTTTTACAGGTTAATTTAGCAACAGGAAGCATGTTTATGGTTTTTAGAAAATTTGATTTTGTTGTTATTCTTTCAATAACGATATGTGAACTTTTTTTTTAAAGAAATGTTATATTTTAGTAAGTTCTTCATTGTTTTGGTGTTATTCTTTGAAGTATGATGTTATTATTTTGAGAATGAAATGTAATCTTCTTTCAGAATGCTTACAAATTAGTAGATTCATCGTTTGCATGTAATTATTTCAAGAATATATACCAAGAATCATGTAATTCTTCCATGTTCCAATGCAATTTTTTTGATTCTTACAAGATTAAAACCTTATTCTTTTTAGAATAAAAAGGTTGCATTGCGACTAATCTGGTTACAAAAATTATCGTGAATATTTTATATCCAATACAAAAATTCTCATGAACCAAAACTTTACATTCTTTCAAGAATGAAACATATTATGTTAAGAATAGTTTTAGAGTTTAATAGATTTTTTTGGTAATTTTGAAATCAGTTAAAATTAATTATAAAAACCATATTATATTTGAAATTGATTCAAAAATGCTAAAAAAGTCATCCCATGTTTATAACATATTCTATAATTAAATTAACATGAAATATTCGTAATACTATGGGTGAGCAAAAACCTAACAAATAAGTGATTGCATACGCCTTGAGACATTTGAAGCCTCACAATGTTAACTATCTGACACATGATTTAGAGCTGGGAGCAATGGTTTTTGCTCTTAAGATTTGTAAACATTATTTGTATAGGATTAAGTGTACCATTTACACTGATTTTGAACATGAGACATTTGATATGGTTAGATGTGGTAACGGATTATCATTGTGAGATACTTTACCACCTGAGTAAAGCTAATGTGGTGGTTTTTGCCTTGAGTTGTGAGAAGAATAATGTACATCTTAGTGGGTTATGTTTGAGGATGATAATGGTTAAAACCTTGCTAGAGATGATTGGGAAGGTACAGACCAAAGAAGTCAAGGTTGAGAATAAGAAGACAGGGTGAGTCAAGGGCCAGACTCCAATTTTTATCAAAGATAGTCGATATTTTTTTGACTTGATATGGTCGGATTTAAGCTTCGTTTGTTGGTCAAACTTGAAAGATTTTGATGGATGAAGCATATAAGTAAAAGTTTTTTATCCATCTTGGAATGAGTAACATATACATAGACTTACAAGAGGATTATTGGTGGCCCGATATGAAGTTGAATGTGGCTTGGTGTGAAGAAAAGTGTTTAACTTGTCATAGAGTTAAGACTAAGCATCATAAATCTCATGGAAAGCATCAACAATTGGAGATTCGAGTACGAAAATGGGAGCATATTACCATGTATTTGATTACCAAGTTACCAAAGAATCCTACGAATATGGGTTTTATCAGAGTCATTTTTGATAGATTAGCCAAGAATGCTCACTTCATATCGATTCATGAGAATTCCTCATCCGAGAAACTGGCTGGCATTTATGTCAAGGTAGTGATTGGCAGTCATGGAGTACCATTTCTAATGGTTTCGAATCAAGAAATCAAATTTACTTCATGGTTTTGGAATAGCTTTCATGTGGATTTGGGTATTCAGTTACGTTTAAGCACAACATATCTTCCTTATAATAACGGTCATAACAAATGATGATACCTACATTGGAGGATATGTTGCATGCTTATGTTACTGATTTCGGTGGAAGTTGGGATATTTGTCTTCCAGTAGCAGAGTTCTCTTATAATAATAGCTATCACTCGATCATTGGAATGCCTTCTTTCGAGATGTTGTAGAGGAGGAAGTACAGGACCCCAACATGTTAGGGAGAGGTAACTCAACAAGTTATGGGTAGCACCAACATTGTGCTCATAACCACTAAGCATATTTAGATAGTCTGAGAGAGCAGAGACTGCACACAGTCAGCAGATAAGGATAAGCGATAGTCCAACTTAGAGTTTTAGGTTAAAACTTTTGTTCTTATTAAGGTGTCACCTTGTAATGGGGTTATCCAGTTTTGAAATAGGGGAAATTTGGGTCTGAGGTACAGTGGACCTTATCGGTTCATTGCACGTATAGGGAAGGTGACTTATTGATTTAAAGGTTTTAGAGGATATTAGTTCGATTCACAAGTATTTCCATGTTTCACGGTTGAGGAAGTGTTTAGTAGATGATGAAATGGTTGTACCATTCAAGGATATCCATGTAGATGAGCAACTGAACTATACAGAGAAGCCAATTGTTGTATAAGAGAGGAAACAAGACCTTACACAACTAGGTGACCGAGTGAGTAAAGGTGCAATGTTATATTAATTTATATCGTATAAAAATGTATAAATATCAAAAAAATTGTATGCTATAACAATGTTATATTAATTTATATCGTATAAAAATGTATTTTTAAAATGTTACCCCATCTATAATATTGTAATTTTTTATTAGGAAAATATAATTTGAAAAACATATATAGTTATAGTGAAAAAAATGTTTTATATTTGAATGACATAATTATAGATATAGGTTAGTATAAGGATTGTATACTCGTCTATTGAATCGGAACTGGTCAAGAACTATCAATTCAAAAACCGAAGTGATGTGAATGTTTCGGTCCCCGCTACTAATATGTAGAAGCAGCTCAGAATGTTTCAAATAAATATGTTTTGTTATTTCATATAGATATCAAGTAATATATAAAAATAATAATAATAATAATTAAAAAAAAAAAATAAAAAAAATTAAAAAATTAAAAAAAAAACTTTAAGGATTTTAAAAGTCAAATATTCAGAACAAAAACAACTTCGTGAAACATTTTCAAAATCTTAAGATCCAATGCAACCGGTTCAAGTTTCGGTTCCAACATTCCACGATCCATCGTTTTTAATTTTT